TTAAAGTCAACGTGATTTCAAAATGGATCCATTTACTCTCATAATGCTCGTTCCCGGACTTATTGTGCATAAATTATTGGTGCAGGTTATCCAGATGAAACATGTTTGTCTTTATAATCTTTTTTCGAAATAAACTACCCTTCAAAAGTTTGGGGTAAGATCTTTTTTTAACAGCCAATACTTTTATTCAGGGAGGACGCATTACATTGATCAAAAGTGACAGTAAAGACTTTTGTAAAGATTTTTATTTCAATGAAATGCTGTTCTTTTGAACTTTCTATTCATTAAAGAATCCTGAAAAAATTCCACAAAAATATTGAGCAGCACAACCGTTTTCAGTCATTTCTGAAGGATCACGTGACACTGAAGCCTGGAGTAATGCTCAATATTCAGCTTTGACATCACAGGAATACATTGCATTTTACAACATATTAAAATAGAAAACCGTTGTTTTTTTTACTGTATTTAGATCAAATGAGTGCAGCCTTGGTGAGAGACTTAACAGACTTCTTTCAAAAACATAAAAATAATGTTACCGAATACCGACCCTAAACCTTTGACCGGTAGTGTATAATAACTCTTCCTCAATCAACATTTCCTTCATGTTTAATATGCATGAGGAGTGTGATGTTGTTCCAATGAGCTTTTGTTGTAGGCGTGATAACAGGAAAAAATTTGTTGGGCTACATTGTTATGGAGAATTTGTAGCGCGAGTGTTTATTGTATATTTATCAATCATCATTTGTCGGATAATCTGGAGAAAGATGAGTAGGACCGGAGCATGTCTTCTTTAATATTTTTAACTCTAGCCTTTATTTATTATCTTTTAATTCCTTCAAATCACATTATTAGTGTAAATTATAACTCAGCCTTAGTGAAAAGAAGAGTCGGAGATGCTCATTAATGTGGCGTGGTGAGCAGAATGTCCGTGACTCTGAAGGCACCGTGTAGCGTAGAGCCCCACTGAGTGACAGGAATGTGAGGAGACAGGAAGATGTGCAGGAGCCCCGGCCCAGCCCTCATTAGCACTCACCACTACCTGTCACAACACGTTAGCCACAGCGTGCTAGCCACAGTATGTTAGCCCCTCCGTGACTTACGCACAGCAGGTTAGCTCCAAGCGTGTTAGCAACGGCACATTAGGTAGAGCATGTTAGCTCCGTGTGTTAGCTTTTAGCTGCTGCCTCTCAGGTCCCAGTGCGTTAGTGATATCGCCGGTTGAACTATGTTAGCAAACTCTTATTTAAACGCATTTGCCGAAAAGGTTTTGTCTCAAGAATTTTAAGTAAAAGCATGTTTTATGTCAGAGCTTTATCACCATGTTAACAGTCCTTGTGCTACCACTGCACCAGGGCTTCAATAAAGTTTTTAAAGCTGAAGAATTGATTATTTTCAAACAGGTTTCCCAACTCTGCTCGTCCCCTGTTGGATGGACTATAAAGAGAGTCCCGCCCCGAAACGCACGCCATTGGTTGCTGTGTGTTGGGCTAGTGAGGATATTTAAGGGTGGTTTCACACTAGCACTTTTGGGGCACACCTGGGTTAGATTGACATTAGAGTTTGGTTTGTTTGGATGATGTGATGTTTTCCGTACTCTGGTGAGCACATGCAATGTGAATGTAATACAAATACTACATTCTAAATACTATACTGGACGGTGCATTTTCCAGCATTAACCATGTCACAAGTACCTGAGTCCTCATAAAAAGAGGGGTTTGGAGTTCGGTTCATGTTATCTGGTATGGTTCACTGCTGATATGAATGCAGTCGTACTAAATTGCGCAAGTGAACCTCTATTGATGACGTATGATTCGATAAATCTGTGTGTATGTGTGTGTTCTCACTCACTTTCCTCTCATCTCTTTTCTGCTAACCTTCAGCAGAAATGGACACCTGCATTCTTTAGAACATTCGCAGCAAAAAGACGCAAGTGCCATTTGAAATCAAAACCAAATGTTCAAAAACACGAATGTAAAAGTGAGGTTAACAACACTATGCATTTTGCCGTCTTCTCCTTCATCATCCTTACCAAGCAACAAGGGTAAACAGCTGCTGTTTCACGATGCAAACGCACCACGGTTCTGACCCAAAGTGGGGGCAGGGGAGGGGGCAATCAAACACTGGTTCAGACCAGGCAATCGAACCAAGTGTGAAAGCTCCCTAAAGAGATAGAGCCACATTGTTTACACTTTTCGGGGAAACCATGAAATGGGTTAAAGTTGTATTTGCATAGCAGATTGATTGCTATAAAAGGAGGGAAGGTGTGCGTCCAATCATTAGCTGTTTCTCCACCATCGGGCCAAACCGTTCTCATTGCTTAACCATTCCATTCAGTGCCGATCTGGGCCAGCCGGCACGTTTACGGTTTCATTTTCCATTCGAGAGCTGATATCAGAACTCTTTTGAATGTAATACAAATACTACATACTAAATACTATACTGGACGGTGCATTTTCCAGCATTAACCATGTCACAAGGCAGGAGTGATAATGAAGTGGCTCAGAGATTATTACATTGAAATTTTGGAAACTCCTCGAATCTCAATGCCATAGAGAACCTGTGGTCAATCCTTAAAATACGAGTGGGCAAACAGAAGTCCACGAATTTTGATCAACTCTGAGCACTAACAAGGGAAGAACGGATCGCCATCAGTCAGGGTTTGGTTATGTGAAGCTGAAATCCAGCATACGTGAGTGAACTGCAGAGGTTTTGAAGAAGAAGGGTCAACACTGTAAATATCGACTCTTTGCATACTGAATACATATTGAATGTTTTGCCAATAAAACCCTTTAAAACTTATGAAATGGTTATCATTGTTGTTTTTACTGAAGTAGCAAACTTTGTGAAACACTAAATTTATGTCACTGCTAATACTTTTGACCCCATATGGCTATTAACAGGTGAATAGATTTGAATAATGGTGAAATGCTGTAAACTTCTGTCCATAAAAGTGTTGTAAATGATGTGAATGTAATTAAAGTGTACATAGTGCACGTTGCATTCCCGAAATGCATGTTAAACTCACAGTGCTTGCAGAGATGAAGTTTTTACTGTACATTACGTGTAAATGATCACAGTGTCGCTCTTTCCTCTGAAACTTATATTCTTCTGTCTTTGTTATATTGCGATTTCATTTTTTTCCCTATTCATTGTGCAGACCCCTTTATTTATTTTAATGTTACATTTTATTAATTATTAGCTTTTCATCAACTCACAACCCCCCTGCTTTTTCTCCACCAACCGCTTTGGGAAAGCCTGGTTTACAGTATAATATACTTGAGACCCAGAAGGGATGGTATTTAAGGACAGACAATATGAGGACTTCCCTCATCAGCCACGCGCTGGTTTTCCTCTCCGAGTTGAGCAAGAGGTCACAGGTCACCAGACAACATCCTCCCTGTATTCAGCTCATAATTAACCTAAACATCTACAGCATCCGCTGTTTTCACACTGAATCCTCTTCACTGGGGTCGATGGAAAAAGGAAGCATAAAAGTGTTTGGGGCTGCACAGTGAGTCCAAGGATCGGTCAGCTCTTCCCACTGGAGATCCCCCCTCCCTTGTATCCAAACAATCTAAAGCAGGCCTCAGGAGGATGATGACGGGGTGTAACCGGTGAGGCAGTGAAGATGATTATCACCCCAGACACCTTATCCAGTCTGGATTAACTGTTATCACAGACTCAAACCACTTTCCCCTTCCCTGTGTTTGTTCACCAGCTCTAGCGGTCAAATATTTTTTTATGGTGCTGTGTATATTTACTCGTATCTGCAGAGGTCGCATAAATGGGCTGGTTGTGGTCTGAAAGTATGGGTTTTCAAAAGCAAATAATAAGTACTTAACTTTTGAATAGTGCAGCAAGTGTACTGGTACAGTGTCTGAAAACATATTGCTGTTTGCATTTATAATTAGTCTTAGTGTTGAATATGTATCTTTTGCTAAGTTAATAGACTGCAACTATTTCAGTGGCCTTCAATCTGGGTTTTTTTTCCCCTTCGTTTACGTCCAGGCTACCTGTTATAATTTTTCGAAATCCCTATAAAGAAAGAAATGGGAAAAATACTCTTGGAACTGATGTTGTTTTCCTGTTTATTACTTATCTATATATAGAAAATTAAAATACTGTACAGTATATAGCGCATATAAATAAACTTGATTTACAATCCCTTCACAGTTACTGCTCTTTTAAAAAAAAGAATTTTAAACTTAAAGTTAATGTCCAACAACAAATATTTTGCAAAATAAATATTTTTGTCACAATATTGTGCTCTCTTTATATTGTGCAATGTCTGTTTGATGTTAGGATGTGCCTTTACGCAAAAAGGAAATACTTGCATGAACTTCAGACATTTTTAGATAAGTACTGTAAAATGTAAATGGGAAAGCCACGCTACACAATATGCTTATAAGATTGTGGAGCGTTTAATGCAAAACGTTGTTGTGTTTTTAACAACTTGAGTTGTACACTATTCCCTCAGCTGCACAATCTGTGACCTCCACTAGTTTTTCCCATATGCGTATTGTTTATAGAAAAGCGTAAGCCTATCTCACATCTATAAATTGACATCTCTCAGATTTGACTAATCGATAATGGAATGTTGTCTAATAATTTTCAAGAATTATCAATAGTTTTGTTTAATTGTTAAAAACATAAGAAAATGTATGTAATTTAAACTTGACAGTTGAACGCTATTGCCTGCTGTTGAAATGTAAGAATACATTCATTTTAATGTTCTTTAATAACATTGGAATGATAAAACCAGTGGGATTTATAAGCGTAAGTTCTCAAAGTTGAAGTTGTAATACAGTTTGTTTGCCACTAGAGGCACCAAACTGAATTGCTAAAATAAATGGTTTCTCCACTTTCCATTGGTTTAGTCAGTACTTTATAGGCCGCTTAAACTAGCGTTCTTTTTGGCGCCACTAGAGGCGCAGAAATTGTACATTTAAATAGCTGCTAAAGTCTCATGAAGTGAAATATTTCTGTCTATTCTCGTTTAGGAGATGGAGAGGACTTTTCTCTTTTCGCCTCTGATGACCTGGAAGAACTTGGAGTATCTGATGCAGATCCACTCCCATTGGCCACTGCGAGTGACCTTCCTTCCCCTGGCCTATCCGCTGATGCGGCCTCCCCGGTCGCCCCCTCCCCCTTCCACCCGTCGTTCCACGCTTCAATGTACCTGGCCGGGGGTGGGGTCGAATCGGTGCCCCCAGACTTTGAGGTCCGCGAGTCGGCCGTTACCAGAGGAAACCTGGGTGTCTGGAGCCGGAGGAGACTGGAGGTGGGAGAACGTCTTGGACCCTACGAGGGAACTTCAAGACACAGCCCAGAAAATGCTACCCAGGCATGGGAGGTAGGATCAAACAATGAACTTGAGATGTGTTCCTCTACTGTAGCCTTTTTCAGATAAGAAAATCCTCACACAGTTGGAGACGAAGCGTGCAGATAACATGGGCTCATGGGCTGCTGCTATGACTTAGGGTTTTACTGTCATCAGTTGCGAGGCAGTGTGATTAACCCTGGCCCGCATGTTTTATGGTGAAGCACCTCTACTCAGCTCTGTGATCTTACACTAACCCCAGTTAGCATTGCTGTAATCCCATTAGTCACAATTACTAGACAGGCTATTGGTCAATGTTATGCCAATTACATAATATAAATGTCTTTGAAAGTCTTTTTAATGCCACTTAAGTCTGAAAATATGTACAGAAGATTTCACATGCTTATTCGTCACAGTAAACCAGGGTTGTGTGCCATTCCGGAGTGATTTGAGAAATTGCGGCTCAGTTCCAGAAATTGGATTGAGGAAGAAAACCGAATTGCAATTTGAATTGCTGTCATTTTTAACTAGAGGAAAGTTTTAGTCGGACAATTGTCTGAATGTATTGCTTTAGTGCTCTGACCTCACTGATAGATTAGAGTGGTCAATTGTCCCTCTGTGATGTCATCACAGTGGGAGGAGTTAGACTTTCCAAACTCAATTAAAGCCCGAGGCTCATAAATCCTTCTTTTTAGCCAGGTTAAAGACCGCCTCTCCTCGCGACTGCCCTGTCTGTCAGATATCAGTCAGTCTACTCTCCCAGTCGAAACCAGGTCACAGGACAAGGCCAGAGGTCGAGTGTGGTCTTAGTCAGGGTCATTTTAGGCTAATTTCGCCTGGCTGGAGAGGTCGCAGGAGGAGTATCAGGCTAATTGAACATTGAAATAGACTCGTCCTGCTCTGACAAAGAAACAAACCCTCATTCTTGAAGAACGACCATTCAGTATTAAAGCAGTCAGGTTCATGATATTGATATTATCTGTAAAGTAGTCGCTGTAAACACACCTTGCAGAATTTGTAAGCTGTAGTTTGAGCTTGTTCACACTTTGGTGCCCTTTGAATTATATGTGTTCAGCTTTTATGATATGTTTATTTATGATTAATTCTGGTCTGCTCGGGGTCGGATTTTGGTCCTGTTTGTATGGCGATGATTTAAACGTTAATAATCAGTTCCAGGCTGTTTTTTAGAGGCGTTTTTGTCAGGACGTGGTATTATGGTTTAAGTTTGGTTGGCATATGTAATTATGGTTAACTTTGACTAAACGCTGTTGAAAGGTTCGAATTTGTTCTTGCGACTGCTCTTGTTGGAAAACAAAACTGGTTAAGCTTGCATTTTAATCTTCTGACTTTTTTCACTTTGTAAGTTGTTTTTTCCCTCCTCAGCATGGCAGAAATCTTACATGTGCAAACATTAGGTTTTAATATGATTGAAAAGGCAGCTGTCTCCCAATGGTAGATTTACAGTCTCTCGAGCAAGCACTCTCTCTCTTTCCCGCTGTCTCTCTTTCTTTCTTGTTCATTCTCTATGGAAGGAAACGAAGGAGGAAAAAAAAAGGGTTTCATGAATTTTAATCTATCTGTAATTTATTGCATGCTTGAATAATATGTATTTAAGAAACTGAGAAGCCACATAGAGAGAGAGAGAGAGAGAGAGAGATGGGGGGACGGATGACAGCGTGGCGCGGCAGTGCTGTATCACTATGTTTAATTAGCTGGCTGACAGCGGCCCATAACTCTCTCCATTAAGTAAATAAGTTGTAAAGAATTTATGATGAAGTGGCGCATTATTCAGAGGGGATATTCAATGATGACATGGACACATTAAATATGGTAAATGGCATTAAGCGTATCTCCCTGCCTTTCCCTCATTCTCCTCTGCACCCCCCCCCCCCCCCCCCCTCCCTCCATCCCGCCGAGTGAGAAGCCGTCAATATGCCAATATGCAAGAGACTGTAAAAATAAAATTGATTTGGTAAATGCGAGTTAAGATAGATCTGTTTGCTTTCATCATCAGTTTTGCTGTGTGGAAGAGTGATGTCACCGGCGGGGGTACGATAAAGACCGAACCCATCTGGAGGCTTTGATGAAGTGCGCGTGTGTGTGTGTGTGTGTGTGAGGGAATAGATGCTCAAAGCACAAGTGCTGTAATGTTTGTACACATCTATATGAGCCTGATTGTGTGTCTTTGTGAGCCTGAAAATGTCGACAGGTGTTTTGATTGTCAGTTTGTGTGTTTGTACTATTGTTTTTGCTTGTGTGATGGTGTACAGGTGTTTGTTTGTTAGTTTGTGTGATTGTGTGAAGGTCTTTGCTTCTGTGATTTTCTAATTGTGTAGAAGTGTTTGATTGTTGGTTAGTAGAGTTGCACAAAAAATTGGACATTTTTCTGATAAAATATAAGCAACTCGGATGCAGAGATGATTTGTTTGTGTGATGGTGTGCAGGTGTTTATGTGATTGTGTACGTTTTACTTTTGTTTGTTTTTTGCGATCAAGTGCCTTTTTTTGTGTGATTGTTTGCATGTATTTGTGAATTTTTGCAAGCACTTGTTTGATTGTGCCGAGGTGCTTGCTGGTGTGATTGCGTGCATATGTTTGTGTGATTGTTTTGTGTCTATATGCAGCTGAAAATATGTGTGCGCATGTGAGTTTTTGTCTGTAAATGTGTGTCTAGGACAACTTTTTATGTTTGCACAGCTGTGTGTGACATTGTGGATGATATGTGTGCGACATTGTGGATGATATGTGTGCACCGAAGTGATTTTTTGTGTGCAAATTGTACATATGGATCGTTTGTGTAGTTAGTGTATGTGCATGTGTGTGTATTAGAAGGTCCATAACTGACTACGAGGAGGTTTGTCACTGAAGAGGTCAGAAGCTCTCTGAACCACCATCATAAATTCAAACCTTTACTCCTTGTGTTATGTGTGTGTGTGTGTGTGAGTAATGAAAGCTGTTGAGTTACGAGTTGAGATGACTTCAGTAAATAAAAAACCACCTGCCTCACAAACACACACACACAAAGCCATTTTGCGTTGAGGTTTTGCAGCACTCTGGTTGTTTAGGACAGGTCACTGTATGTTGACCCTGCAAAGGTGTGTGTGACCTTATGTTGTGTTTGTGTGAATGAAAATAAGTGTGTGTGTGTGTGGCAGTGAGGGAGGTGTCCAGGAGCTTTTGTGCACCTTTTGAGTGCAAGGACATAGATGGAGGGGACGTAGGAGATTAGCCCCGTGTGTGTGTGTGTGTGTGTGTGCGTGGCTGGAGATTAAGAGTGTGTGTGAATAGGGGTGAGGGATTAGGCCTCCTCAGCATGCCTGTCCCCACACTCCTCCGTCTTTTCATCCCGCCATCCTGCTCTCCAACTTCTCTCTCTTTCTGTCTGTCTCTTTTGTGCTGGAACCTTCTCTTTCTCTCTCTCTGTCCCTTCTGTCTGTCACTCTCCCGCTCCCGTCCGCTCGATCTGTCAGTCTTTCTCAGAAATATTTATCCGCTCCTTGTCTTCCCTTATTCTTCCCTTCCGATATATATTCCTCCTCTCTTTTTCAGGGCCCGAAAGGAAGTTTAATCCCTGTCTCAGGGAAACTGACCTCACACACACAGGCCATTCAGATAGACTTCTAAAACTCATCTCATGTGTTTTTATGAAGCATTATGTTTTAAAGTATTCACTGAGAACGCTTCCACTGTTTCACCCGCTCATTCTCAGGAGGATAGAGAGAAGGTGTGAGAGAGAGAAAGAGGCTTCCTGTATTGGGACTCGACCGGCTTACAGTACACAATACTGGCACAGTTTCACTGCCACTGTTTAAAGACAACATGAAATCCACAAAGACTTTATTTACTTACTGTGCACAAAACAGCAGTACACATTATTCTAAATGAAAAAAGGAAATGTTAGCTTCTGTAATCTTTCAACAAAGTGTAATCATTTTCTCCAGGCCACGTAAATGGGGAAAAGTAATATTAACCAATCATTTCTTGACACCCTGACATTCAGTCAAATCCTGATGGATAATTAAAGGTGCAGTAAGCGATTTCTGAGAAACGGGCCGAGAGCCAAAACACACTTGTAGCCAATCAGCAGTAGGGGGCGTAAACACTCATTAGGTGGGAGGTGTGTGTTGCATAGCATGTTCGTGAATTTAGGGGTGGAGATATCAAGATAGGGGTGTGATCCTTTTAGGTAGGGGCGTGTTTGTTTTTGGTGATTTCAAATATCAACAGCATTTTTCAGAAATCGCTTAAAGGGATAGTTCACCCAAAAATGAGCCCATGATTTACTCATGATTTACCCTGAAGCCATCCTAGGTGTATATGATATTCTTCTTTCAGACGAATACAATCGGAGTTATATTAAAAAATGTCCTGGCTCTTAATGAGAGTGAATGGGTGTCTGTCTTTGGAAGTCCATTAAAGCACATCTATTCATTAAAGTACTCGACACGGCTCTGAATGGGTTAATAAAGGCCTTCTGAAGTGAACCGATGCGTTCGTGTAAGAAAAATATCCATATTTAAAACTTTATCGACTAAAATAACTAGCTTCCGGCAGACGGCCGTACGCATCAATTTACGCCAAAAGAGCAACACTTGAACTTGACGCACAACGTAATGACGGCAATTGACGCCTCTCGCGGTTCAAACAAACTGGACTGGGCAACCGCGTTCGTCATTACTTGTGCGTCAAGTTCAAGGGTTACTCTTTTGGCGTAAATCGATGCGTACGGCCGCTAACTCAGATTGTATTCGTCTGAAAGAAGAATGTCATATATACCACGGATGGCTTCAGGGTGAGTAAATCATGGGATAATTTTCATTTTCGGGTGAACTATCCCTTTAAATCCCACCCATTACATTTTGGATGCTACTGTAAATGTTTTGCAAATATTAGTTTCATGTTGTCTTTAAGGTGTGTGCCCAAGTGTTTTCATTACTTTAAAAGAATTTTTGCAATAAGTGTACAAAATAAAACACATTGCACTGATGACTTATATAAACAGATGGACTATATATATATATATATATATATATA